CCCCGAAAGCTCATTAGTGTTTTCAAATTTGGGATTTTCAATTCTTTCATGTGCTCTGTGAGAGATTTAGTTCAGTAACAATTATATGTACGGCCGTTATCTCACTACAGTCGTAAACATATGGCCACAAATTTAGGACATTCGACAGACAGGATCAGAAAGCAAAAAAGCGTCTGGCATTCAGGCTCGTTGGGCTTAGCAACACAGTCTAGGGGATGTGATTACGATCGAGAGCGCACTCCTACATTCCTTTAAGATTTACTGGACCCGTGGTGGTAAGATGTTTACTTCTATGAGTGTAATAAATTGTTGAAGAAGAGTGAAAAGACGATTTTATAGTCGGAATATTATCTTGTGACATGAGGAGAGCCGTACAATAAGCGAAACGAATATTCTTGTCAGACTTCTATGTGCTCAGGCAAAACATTCGGCGTAGCGTCCTAGGCAGTCGTCTCCAGCGCCGAGATTCTCGTCTCTATGGGTAAAGGAAACGAGTTAGTATTCTAAAGGATTCCGTGACTGATGTCACATATGTCCTAGCGAAGAGGGTACTTACATCAGTCAATGGGTGTGACGGAACAAAAGTCTTGCCTAAAAAGAAAGAAAGAGCATCAAACCTATATCAGTCAACAAATATTTATGAAACGCTGTCTGGGATCAGGGTAGAAACCTATGTAGGTCTGGCTTCTGTAGGATGGTAATATACACTTGTAGAAAAAGGAAGCCTCGACAAATCTTGTCAATAAAACTGAAAAGATTAAGAAGATGCAAATCGCACATACCAGTGAAGGTTGATGGCGCTGACCAAACCTCGTCTCCATTGTTCAGTACCGGCGCCGTCTGTATGCATTTGTTTTGAGTTTTTTCTAAAACCGCTGGCTGCAGAAGTGATTTCGGAGGGTTCCGGGCCGAATCGCCGCTTCATACGAGTGGCAGATCGGTTTCACCTGTTTCGCCGGGGTGATTGTTAAAGAAGTCCGCCTCATATCTAGCTGACAGACCGGCGATGAAGAGCGGTGGTGGCGGTGGCGGTGAAGGAGGCGGCGGTGGCGACGGTGGCTGCCTCAACATATCGAATATAGAGAACTTCGCTGATGACGTCACCGTCAGCGGGCTGGGGGGCCGTTGCGGAGCCGCAGTAGTTCCGGCGTGGCAAAGTGCTGCTGCAGTGACGACGAGGATGGCGATAGTAACGTCGCAAGCGGTAGCTGCAACAATGTACATTACATTTTGTTTGAATTGGTAACTGTGCTATCCACGTCACCTTTCCATCCCTTCATTGGGTTTGTTTTTTCCAAAATAGGGCTCGAATTTCCTTCCCAACTGTCGAGGTCTTCTTCATTATTTATAGTCAAGCTACTGACGCTTTCGGCAGTTCTCGTGCCGGAGCTTTCAGTATCCTGTCTAGGGGAAGCTGGTTTATGCCGGATGGATGAGGATTTGTTGAAAGTTGTCCAACGAGAAGTGTCAGAGTTAAAGCTGACATCCTCGGCACTGAGAGTATCTTCGTGAATGTAACTACTCCTATAGGTGTTACAACTCGCAGTCCGTGTACATGAAGATTCTACCGTAATTGTACTTAGGGGACTTTCGCAGGATGGCCATTTGTATGTAGATGATTCGGATTGACTAGAAGTTGACACAAAAGAGGAGGAGACTTGCTTAATTTAAAGTAAATTAATAAATAGATTAAACTTTGATATTTCAAGCGCTCAGAGGTCTTTATCAAAACTGACATAAGGTGACTATGTAAGTCATGATGTTATATGAAGTGATGAAATCTGATATCTACAAAATAAGCCAGTGGGTGCTACTCTTCATTAACATGAGCGCATACAATGTCTACCTTCCACATTTTTTCGCCTTTTTGGTGGAAAACATAATGTGGCCGCAAGCTTTATATGATTTCTGACAAAAATGACTGACCAATATATACACATTATCTGCTTTCACAGAAGATTGGTTCTACTTGAATTCGTATCAGCGGAGTAACTAATATTAGAACTTCGCGGACTACTTTTATCTTCGGTCTTTGTCGATCATATTATACTTACAATGTTTAAATAATGCATACTAACTAGTGTTCTTTGTACTGTGCCTATGCAATCGATTATGATGACATGGGTTACTTTTTGCGTGAAGGTAAAATTTAATTTTAATCAATGAAAAGATGAAAGGGGATAATAGAAAAGAGTCGGAAAGTGAACTTACATCTATTTGCGTGGGGTACTTCATCGCAATTCCGACTGGGCATGCCATACTCGGAATGTATACTGGATACATCGCCTACGTCCATATACTCCTGCCACCATTTAAGGTATCGGGATATAAGTTTCGACGGCGCTAACATCTTGTTGTGACACGGTTCAGATTTGAATTATATTGATTAATTTTGTGTGACCTTGGGCCTGACAAATGGGGCAGCTGCCTCCTGTTGCTGCTGCAGTTGGCGTAATAAATTGGCGGCCATAGCCATTAATTCCTTTCATCTTCTGCAATGCTTAACAGTGCGAAAGTTAATGTTTAAACATCCGAAAAGCAATATTGTTCTCAGTATTTGCACCTCACCTTCTTCCTCCAGAGGATGTATAAAACTGTATACGTATAAATACCCTTTATGTGTAATTTACACCAAGATGCTGTATTCCAATTAAGCAGATTTGCAGTCTGCGTGAGGTGTGATGTGTGATGTGCAAACGCAAAAATGTATATACCTACTCAAGACATCTATTCTGGTGTCAAATGTATTGGAAGCGCATGTATAAAGAAATATTGATGGATTTGTGAGATATACGAAATATAAGGTTAACTGAAGAAATATACCCTCAGAAAACTTAATCTAAAATAGACACAATCTCTGTGGAGATTGTTCTTTTAATTCTATTCCAAATTTTCAAAAAGCAGAATGTTTGTTTGGTTTCAACGAACGGCAAACTAAATGCTTTACACCTCAAGGATAACACGTTCGTAAAACACTCAGAAGCAACCAGGAAGACAAAGTGAATTGCATGTTCAGACGAATCTCCGAGCAACCTTTTTCACGGAATATCAAATGGAAAACCGGTCAGCCTTCTGATCAAGGTCAAATTCTCATAACAGCAGTGTACAAAGCCAGAGA